GGACGTGTCACTGAACCTTCAGGGGTTCCGGGATCCCCCACCCAGGTGCCTAGCGCGCCTCCCTCCCGCCCCTACCTGTTTTCACCCCTTGTGGCTCCACCCCCGCCGGGCAGCTGGACCTTGCCCGGGGCCTTCTGATCTCCAAGCTCCAATTTCAGCCGGAACTGCCCCGCCCCGCCCCTTCCCTGGCAGGAGCACAGAGGAGAACTCTGCTGGGACACTGACCTACAGACCGACGCTGGGACCCAGGACAACTGAGGTGCCGATGGGCGCGCCTGGCGAGCCCTGCGTGGGGCAGGAGGTGAGTGCCCCTCACATCGCGCCCCACTCCTTTTCTAGGCTTGGTTTGGCTGCAGATCTCTCGGGCTGCGATACTGGGGAGAGGAGAGACCCCCAAATTCCTGGACCCGGAAGCGCGGAGACTTACTCCAGCCCCCTAACTGCACGGGTTGGACCCCTTCCACCAAGCCGGCCCCCGATACTCCAGCTCTGTTTAAGGGGCCACCAGACCGCCCAGCTTCTTCTAGGGGCTTATGGGGCACCCAAGCTCTCCTACCCCCAGAGAGCACTTACCTCCCTGGTTTATTTTCCCGTTGCTCTTAGCAAAGGATTCCAGGGAGTGGAGTTCATGGGGGGGTAGGGGTGGGGGTTGCAAGCTTCCAGCATTCTGAGGGCCATGGAGGTGAAGAATAGGCTGGTATGAATTGAGGGATTCTCTGTACCTAGCCTTGTGCCCAACATGGTGCCACACTGCTGCGAACTTTGCTGCTGCTAATCCATTTAATACAACTCATAGAGGTAGAGTCTCATCCCCCTTTTGCAGGGAAGGCAACTGAGGCACAGAGGTTAAAGTTTGCACAGCCAGTGGGTTGTGAAGCCTGGGAGAATAAAAAGACAGCGGAGAGAGAAGTGGAGAGGCCACGTCTACTAAACTTCAAATGTCCTCTAAGGTTAGATAGGGCCAGCAGAACTGCTGAGATAAAAACAACAGATGAAGCAGGGCGTGGTGGCTCATTGCCTGTAATCCCAGCACCTAGGAGGCTGAGTCAGGAGGATTGCTTGAGGCCTGGAGTTCCAGACCAGTGTGGGCAGCGTAGTGAGACCTCTATCTCTACAAAACATAAAAAAAAAACAGACTCAGCCAGGCCACGTGAGTGGGTTTATGCCTGTAATCCCAGCACTCTGGGAAGCCAAGGTGGGAAGACTGATTGAGCTCAGGAGTTCAACGCTTTAGTGAGCTTTGATTGTGCCACTGCAGCCTGGGCAACAGAGTGAGACTCTGTCTCTAGAACATAAATTAAATTATAATAAAAATAAATCACATCAGGATCAGCAGTCGGACAAGCTTTGGGGTCAGATAAGCCTGGGTCACAGTCAGCTCTGCTACTTCCCATTCGTGTGGCCCTGAGGGAGGCAGTTCCCCTCTTGGTGCCTCAGTCTGCTGGTCTCTGAAATGGGGACAGTACAGCCTGTGTCCTAGAGTTGTTATAAGGATTAACTGACAGTCCATGCGATAATTACAGAGCCCAGGTCTCCTAGACCCCAGAGCCCAGCTCCCTGGGTTCAAATCCCAGCCCTTCCACTTCTCAGCTAGGTAAAGTCAGCCAAGCTACTCAACCACTCTGGTCCTCAGCTTCTTCATCTGCAAATCAATATGATAATTGCATCTACCTAGGGTTGATGTCAGGATGAAAGGAGTTGAGAATTATTAGGTATTCCAAAGAGTGCTTGGTACATTTCTGTGTAAATGTTAGAGATCCAAAAATTGCCAGGCCCCCTGGGCAGGTGAGCTGGGTACCCCTGGCCTCTACATTCCTAAGAGTCCTCCTGGTGTTCCCTCAGGTCTGGAACCAGACAGAGCCTGAACCTGCTGCCACCAGTGTGCTGAGCCTGTGCTTCCTGAGAACAGCAGGAGTGTGGGTGCCACCCATGTACCTCTGGGTCCTCGGCCCCATCTACCTCCTCTTCATCCACCACCATGGCCGGGGCTACCTCCGGATGTCCGCACTCTTCAAAGCCAAGATGGTACCTGCCATCCCTGGGAGCCTGGAACCAGGCAATGGTGGGGGAAGCAATGGACAGGCTGGAACCTGGTGGAGTCCTAAAGTAGACTCTTCCTATCAGGATGTAGGAGGGACTCTGTTAATCAAACAGAGCAATATTAGAGAGGCGTCAGAGGTCAGCTTGGTGGGACACAGTTCTCCCAAACAGATTTTGTAATTCCAAAAATCCATGCTTGCACCAACACACACACACGTTCCCATGTTCCCAGTTGATAACTACCATAACCTGGCATTTTCCAAAACGTACCATGTAGACTCTCGGATCCACAAGGTAATTTTAGGACCACATTAGGATGAGCCTTTGAAAAGTCATGCATTGCTTTTTCTGTTTCCCCACTGGCTGTGTTATAGAACAGTTTCGTGAGTGATACGTATTTATTTCAGAGTGCTGCGTAAGCACTGGCATTCCAGGTGTGAGCCTTTCTGCTCATCCATCCTCTTCTCCTCCATTCTTATAGGCTCTGAAGAATGTTCTTCAGAGTTCATTCCTTCTTCTGCCATTGTGGTAATGTTTGCATCATCACCCACCACCAACCCAAGGGTTGGCAAACGGAAGGAGCCGAGCATCGCATAGTACTTGAGGCTTTGCAGCCAGGCAGGCTTCCTTCCAAACTCAGCTCTGCCACTGCAGCGTGAGCGCAGTAGTCACAACCATAGACAACACTCATAACTGTGTTTCTTTCTTACTTTTTTTTTTTTTTTTTGAGATGGAGTTTCACTCTTGTCACCCAGGTTGGAGTGCAATGGCATGATCTTGGCTCACTGCAACCTCCACTTCATGGGTTCAAGTGATTCTCCTGCCTCAGCTTTCCAAGTAGCTGGGATTACAGGCGCCCAGCAGCACACCTCACTGTTTCTTTGTAATTTTAGTAGAGATGGGGTTTCACCATTTGGCCAGGCTAGTCTCCAACTCCTGACCTCAGGTGATCTGCCTGCCTCAGCCTCCCAAAGTGCTGGGATTACAGGTGTGAGCCACCACACCCAGCTAACTGTGTTTCAATAAAACTTTTTTGTAGTCACTGAAACTTGGATTTCATGTAATTTTCACCTGTCATGACATAGTCTGGTTTTTATTTTTCTTCAGTGATTGATAGTTTTCCAGCCTCTGCTTTAAACTGAGGTTCTTTGAGCAGCTCCTCCAATGTGCCTCAGCTCTGGCCTTCCCTCTGGTGTGTACGTGTTCTCTCACTTTCTTCCTTTCTTTCATTCAGCAGAGAAACCCATCTATATTAGAGAGACCCTAGAGACTTACTGGCCCAACAGACAGTTTCTGCTTGATTTCACAGCAGGGACTGAAAATAACTTGGAGAGAGGATAGTTCTGTACCCAGTGAGTACATTTCATCTCTTGCTGTTTCTTCACACCCACAGTCATCTCACATGTGCATGACTGGAGCACTCCGTGCATGGCGGAAAACATTCGGTTGGCTCAAGGCCTTGCTGTGCATTATTTACAAGACAGTTACACGTCAGGACTGACCTGCAATGCCCTTTACACATTGTTTACGTTGGCACATTGCTAGCTGGTGATATCGGTTTGTGACAGGGCCCCAGCTGGGATGTCCCAGAACCAGCTCCCAACTGAACATGTGGTCACCCACTCATTTTCTGTGACCTTTCTTATTGACCCCCAAGCTTGTCTAAGCCTGTCTCCCCAGGTGCTTGGGTTTGCCCTCATGGTCCTGTGTACCTCCACTGTGGCTGTCGCTCTTTGGAAAATCCAGCAGGGAAAGCCCGAGGCCCCCGAATTTCTCATTCACCCTACGGTGTGGCTCACCACGATGGTAAGGATGGCTTCCGTCCGGAGCCGGGCTTGCTCCCAGCTGCTGCTTTGCCTGGCACGGTGGAAAACGAGGGGAGGAGAAGAGGCTCCCCTGCCTCCTGCCCTCCCCTAAGGGGCCTGTCCTGACTTTCCCGTCCAGAGCTTCGCAGTGTTCCTGATTCACACCGAGAGGAAGAAGGGAGTCCAGTCATCTGGAGTGCTGTTTGGGTACTGGCTTCTCTGCTTTGTCTTGCCAGCTACCAGCGCCACCCAGCAGGCCTCCGGAGGGGTAAGTGGGGGCATGGGCCACCCTGGAAACCAAAATGCTGGCTCAGGCCCTGGGTCCCATCCTTCCTTCTCCTGTTTCCACATATGACTTATTCTCAACTCAGCGACACACACAAGCCAGTCACTTACACTCTAGAGACACAAAATCCACTCCCGCACCTGTAAGTACCTGTCATTCCATACATTTCTCATCAACACAGTTTCCTGTTGTCTTACACAGCCGAATCACATGCTCCACTTGCACACGGGGCACACAGTGCACTGATTCATACATCACACAAGCACATGCATGCATGCACACACACACAGCCTGGGCAGAGACACTCCTGTGTGCACACATTCCCCTACATGGACACCTCCCTCGTCTTATGTACTCACCCTCCCCTCATTCCTAGGCGTCTATGTTTACACACTCATTCTGCACACCCACCCCCACCCCCACCCATATTTCTGTTGCCCAATCTGGGAAGCAGCTTTTTTTTTTTTTTTTTTTTTGAGAGGCTCGCTCTGTCGCCCAGTTTGGAGTGCAGTGGCATGATCTCAGTTCACGGCAACCTCTGCCTCTTAGGTTCAAGCGATACTTTTGTCACAGCTTCCCATGTAGCTGGGATTACAGGTGTGTGCCACTACACCCAGCTAATATTTGTATTTTTAGTAGAGACGAGGTTTCACCATGTTGGCCAGGCTGGTCTTGAACTCCTGACCTCAGGTGATCCACCTGCCTCGGCCTCCCAAAGTGCTGGGATTACAGGTATGAGCCAATGTGCCCGGCTGGAAGCAGCATTTCTTTATTAGGAGACATGATGGGTCATTTTCTCTGTAAAGAGAAAAACAGGTAGTCTACACCAGCTTTTCTCAACCTCAGTTTTAGTAACGCTGTGGCCAGATGACTGTTTGTTGGGAGGACAGGGGTGTCCTGTTTGCTGGAGGGTGTGAAACAGCATCTCTGGCTTCCACCCATAGATGCCAGTAGCATGTCATCCAACTGCAGTAACCCAAAATGTCTCCCAATATTACCATATGTCCCTGGGGTGGGGAGGACAGAATCACCCACCTCTTGAGGGTCACTGGCCTCAACAGTGCTTAGCCAAGGCTTTGGGGAGAGGGGTTATCTTGACACCAATGACCAGGCTGTAGCAGGTTGCAGATATTTTACTTTATTATTTTATTTTTATGGAGAAAAGGTCGTTCTTTGTTGCCCAGGCTGATCTTGAACTCCTGTGTTTGAGCAATTCTCTGACCTCAGCCCCTAAAGTGCTAAGATTATGGGCGTGAGCCAGCACGTCTGGACTACAGATCATTTCTGGAGTCCAGTGGTTACTCCATCCTGCCCCTAAAGAAGAAGGTAGAGAAACATCATCCTGTCCTTAAGGACAAAGTTTTTATTTTTTGTTTGTTTGTTTATTTTATTTGTTTATTCTGAGAGGCTTGCTCTGTCGCCCAGGCTGGAGTGCAGTGGCATGATCTTGGCTCACTGCAACCTCCAACTCCCGGTTCAGGTGATTCTCATGCCTCAGCCTCCCAAGTAGCTGGGATTACAGGAGTGTGCCACCACGCCCAGTTGATTTTTGTATTTTTAGTACAGACAGGGTTTTCCCATGTTGGCCAGGCTGGTCTCGAATGCCTGACTTCAAGTAATCCACCCGCCTTGGCCCCCCAAAGTGCTGGGATTGCAGGTATGAGCCACAGCGCCTGACCAAGGATAGCATTTTTAAAAGATTAACCTTTGTAACTAAGAGGAAATTCCACAGGTTATTCAGTAATTTCTGCAAGGCTGGGCTCCCACAGTTGACCTAAGTCAGCTTTTTGGGACACAGCATAGAAACAATAATACTGGGACCATTTACAGTCTGGGGTTCCAAGCATGTGGCAGGCACTTACACGCCTGTCCCATGGATTCCCACAGCAGGGCACAGTGATGGATTCTTTTTTCTTTTTTTAAATAGAGATAAAGTCTTACTATGTTCCCAAGGCTGGTCTCAAACTCCAGGACTCAAGTGATCTTTCCGCCTCAGCCTCCCAAAGTGCTGGGATTACAGGCTTGAGCCAATGTGCCCAGCCAGTGATGGATTCTAACAGTTCATTTTACAGAGGAGAGAAACTAAGGCAAGGAGAAGGGAATGACGGCCTCAGGGCCACACAGCTGGGGAGTGCAGAGCCCAAGGTCATCTCAGACAAATGTGGAACAAGCTTTCTTATAGAAAGTAGGGAAGACAGTGTCAGTTTAGGGAATATGGGCCATATTGTCATTGGAATATCCAATGATCTCCTATCTGCCAAAAAAAAAAAACCACCAAAAAAAACCTAAAAGAGTAAAAAATCCAGTAGAGGAACTGCTATTTGAAACTAGGGCTCTGGGCTGAACACAGTGGCTCACACCTGTAATCCTAGCACTTTGGGAGGCTGAGGTGGGTGGATCCGCTGAGGTCAGGAGTTAGAGACCAGCCTGGCCAACATGGTGAAACCCTATCTCTACTAAAAATACAAAAATTAGCCAGACTTTGTGGCATATACCTGTAATCCTAGCTACTCAGGATGCTGAGGCAAGAGAACGGCTTGAACCCAGGAGGCAGAAGTTGCAGTGAGCTGAGATCATGCCACTCCACAACCAGCCTGGGTGACAGAGCAAGACTCTGTCTCAAAATATATATATATTTATATACACACATACAAATACACATATATAATACACCTAAAATTAAAAAATAAAATCATGTATATATACATACATACCTAAAATTTAAAAATAAAAATGTTTTCAATTAAAAAAAGAAATACAATTAGAGTGTGTGTGAGCAGATGTCAGGGCAGCAGATGCAGAAGTCATCGCAATGTGGCAGTAGGAGCATCACCATTTAAACCAGATCATCTGTGTCCTTGAAACAAGGGGCCTCTCTGAGCCTTGGTTTCGCCAGGAGTCAAAGGAAGCAAGAAAACCCCAGCTACAACAAATACACAAAAATCAGCCAGGCATGGTGGTGTGCACCTGTAATCCCAACTACCCAGGAGGCTGAGGCAGAAGAATTGCTTGAACCCAGCAGACAGAGGTTGCAGTAAGCCAAGATCATGCCACTGACTACATTCCAGCCTGGGTGACAGAGCGCAACTCCACCCCCACCCCCACCTCCACCACAAAAAAGAAAAGAACATTAGGACCACTCGGAATGCCAGGGCTCTGCCTTTCAAATCCTCTTGCCCTGGTCCCCAGCATGGACACTGACCCCCGCATCAGAAACCTTTTCTCTCCTCTGAGAACCCTCCTCTGCCTCCATGCCTTACCTTCTGCTTTCTCTCCCACAGGGCTTCCAGAGTGACCCGGTCCGCTACCTGTCCACCTATCTGTGCTTGTCTCTAGTGGTGGCACAGTTTGTGCTGTCCTGCCTGGCGGATCAACCCCCCTTCTTCCCTGAGGACCCCCAGCAGTCTGTAAGTCACCAAGTTCCAACCTCATTCCTCTTCCATGTTGAGATCTCAGTCTTTAATTTTTTATTCATTTCTCCATTCAGCAGAATGTGAATTGCATTTCTAGTTGGGGCCAGGGTTGGCAGACCTTTTGTGTTCGGGGCAAGAGAAAATACTTTAGACTCTGTGAGCCATACGGTGATCTCTGCGGAAACTCCTCAACTCTGCGACTAAACACAAAAGCAGAATATGTCAACAAATTGCATGGCTGTGTTGCAATAAAACTTTATTTGCAGCAACAGGCAGTGGGCCAGATTTGGTCAGTTTGCTCACCCCCTCTATGCCTCAGCAAGCAAGGGCTTAAGGATCTATGTTGAACAAGCAGATAGAGTTCCTGTTCTCACGTAACTAGTGGTCAAGTAGAGGAGCTAGACTTGACTCACCTAATTAAACAAATATGTTTAAAATTGGCTGGGCGCAGTGGCTCATGCCTGTAATCCCAACACTTTGGGAGGCCAAGGCACATGGATCACCTGAGGTCGAGAGTTCAAGACCAGCCTGGCCAACACAGTAAAACCCTGTCTCTACTAAAATTACAAAAGTTAGCCCGGCATGGTGGCACCTGCCTGTAAGCCCAGCTACTTGGAAGGCTAAGGCAGGAGAATCACTTGAACCCTGGAGGTGGAGGTTGCAGTGAGCTGAGATTGCACCACTGCACTCCAGCCTGGGTGGCAAAGAGCAAAACTTCATCTCTAAAAAAAAAAAGAAGAAGAAAGAAAATTACCCCTGGGGTAAGTGCTCTTTAGGAGAAATTCATGAGAGTTTTACAGCAGGTAACACTGAAGCAATCTGTGAAATCAAGAAATAAGTATTTTGAGGAAGAGACTGATCTGACATCATATAAACAGATGTTCAGATGGACTAGGTACAGTGGAGCATGCCTGTCATCTCAACACTTCGGGAGGCCGAGGAAGGAGGCTTGCTTGAGCCCAGGTGTTCTAGATCAGATCAGGCAATGCAGTGAGACCCCATCTCTACAGAACGTTTAAAAAATAACCAAGTGTGGGGGTGCATGCCTGTAGTCCCACTATAGAGTGGCTCTGTAGAGGCTGAGGCAGGAGGATTGCTTGAGTCCCAGAGGTAGAGGCTGCAGTGAGCTATGATCGCACCACTGCACTCCAGCCTGGGTAACAGAGCGAGACCCTATCTTAAAAACAAACAAAAAAAAATGCTCAAATGCTTAAGAAATATAGTTAAAACTATCATGGGAATCTTTCTTCACCTACCAGACTGTCAACAAAATTTAACAATTGATAAGCTATGATGGCAAAGACACGGTAAAATGGGCACCGTCATGCCTTACCGGTAAAGAGTACAGGCTGGTGTAATCTCCCTGGAGCACCTGACAAAATCGCAGCACAGGTTTCTCTCCACAGCATTTGCTGAGGGATATTGTCAAGAACCTCATTGTCTTCATTATGCAGGGGCCCTGCTTTGAGAAGCAAAGCAAAGGTTTGGTTTCAGTATAATCAGAGTTGTTCTTCTGAGCCACGGTTACCTCTTACTTTGCAGACACTGTCAGTCCTGCGGCCCAATCCCTTTTTGCCCTGCCTGCTGGGAAGCACCAAGCTCATTGGTGTGCACCTCTGGGAAGGAGACAGGGCAACCCAACGTGTACTTTCAGTACCAAATACACAGTCAGGGCCGGGTCACTGGCTCATGCCTGTAATCCCAGCACTTTGGGAGGCCAAAGTGGGCAGATGACGTGAGGTCAGGAGTTTGAGACTAGCCTGGCCAACATGGTGAAACCCTGTCTCTACTAAAAATACAAAATAATTAGCCAGGTGTGGTGGTACACACTTGTAATCCTAGCTCTTTGGAAGGCTGAGACAGGAGAATCACTTGAACCTGGGAGGCAGAGGTAGCAATGAGCCAAGATCACACCACTATACTCCAGCCTGAATGACAGAGCAAAATCCCGTCTCAAAAAAAACACAGTCAGTTCATCTTGTCTTCCTGCCCTTCCCACACACTCACCAGGGGATGTGAGACCAAGGCTTCCCCGTTCTCCACTTTTGTCTGTTGCAGAATCCCTGTCCAGAGGCGGGGGCATCCTTCCCCTCCAAAGCCATGTTCTGGTGGGTTTCTGGGTAAGTAAAGTCACAGGGAAGGGTTGGGGGTGCCTCACCCACCTGCATTTGCTGCACTGATTTCCACCCATGGCTCTTCCCCATAAGGCTCCCCCATGCTCACAAAGGCCAGCCAGGCTTTCTCCATCCCAGCCTCGGCACTTTCTTCTTTTCTTCTCTGTGTCAGGGTCCACTGTCTACATCCTGTTCCTACTCAGTCACCGGAGTGAGATCTGGATTCAAATTCTGCCTCTGCCTCTTAGCAGGCCATGTCACAAGTCCTGGAGTCTCAGTTTTCCCCTCTGTAAAATGGGGATAACTCAACCTTCATGACTGGAAGAGTGCTTAGTGCTGGCACACAGCAGGTGCTTAATAGAAATAGAATTGTCTCCACTACTTGGCTTCAGTCATTCCACCAGCATTTAATAAGCACCTACTATGTGCTAAGCACCAGGGGCAAGGAGATAAAGGAGCAAGTGTCTACTTCCTAGAGGGTTCCAGGCAGATGGAGGAAACAGCTGCCTCTCCATGGCCAGCTCAGCAGGCACTTGAGGATGTGCTCCCTCCTGACCACACTGCATCCAGACCTCAGCACAAGACCTGTGGAGCTCAGTCCTGGCCCTATCACTTCTAGCTGTGTAGCTTTGGGCAAGCTACTTAACCTCTCTGTGCCTTAGTCTCCATTCCTTCAAAATGGGATTAATAAAGCACCTACCTCATAGAGTTGTGAAGATGAAATAGGATAAATTCTGTAAAGCACTTAGATCAGGGCCTGGAACAGGCGCTGGCTCATGCCCATAATCCCAGCACTTTGGGAGGCCGAGGTGGGAGGATCATGAGGTCAAGAGATCAAGACCATGCTGGTCAACATGGTGAAACCCCATCTCTACTAAGAATACACTTAGCTGGGTGTGGTGGTGATGACCTACAGTCCAAGCTACTCGGGGGGCCAAGGCAGGAGAATCACTTGCACCCAGGAGTCAGTGGTTGTAATGAGCCAAGATGGTGCCACTGCACTCCAGCCTGGTGACAAAGCAAGACTGTGTCAAAAAAAAAAAAAAAAAAGGAGGGGGGGCCTGGCACATAATGAGTGTAAGTGGTTATTATTTTTAAATATTTATTTATTTATTTTGAGACCGAGTTTTATTCTTATCGCCCAGGCTAGAGTGCAATAATGCAATCTCAGCTCACTGCAACCTCCACCTCCCAGGTTCAAGCAATTCTCCTATTCTCCTGCCTCAGCCTCCCAAGTACCTGGGATTATAGGCTTACACCACCACGCCCGGCTAGTTTGGTGTTTTTAGTAGAGGTGGGGTTTCTCCATATTGGTCAGGCTGGTCTTGAACTTCTGACCTCAGGTGATCCATCACCGTGGCCTCCCAAAGTGCTGGGATTACAGCATGAGCCACCACCCCCGGCCTGTTCTTCTTCTTCTTCTTTTTTTTTTGAGACAGTTTCACTCTTGTTGCCCAGGCTGCAGTACAATGGCATGACCTCCCAAAGTGCTGGGATTACAGCATGAACCACTGCACCCGGCCTAAGTGTTATTAAATAAATGAAAAATATCAGGCTTTGGATGTGTGGAATTGGCAGAAACGTTTTCTAAACAGCCCTACTGGGGGGTCCAGCCCTTGCTTCCCAAACTTAAGCATTTATGGACCACTCTTCATGCTTTTTGTCCTACTGGGGCAAAAATTAAATTGAATCACTTTTTTAACTCTAATAAACTGTTTCTAAAAAGAAACTTTCTGTAGCTGCCAAAATAGGAAAACTCTGTAGTATCACTTACCATATAGGAGAATTCCAAAAATAATTCCAGGGAAAATCAAGCCATGTTAATAATTTCTGTGTCCAAACAGTTGCTTCCCAAGTTGGCTCTGCATTAGAAAAGGGAATTTGGTGGCTAGGCACAGTGGCTCATGCCTGTAATCCCAGCACCTTGGGAGGCTGAGGCAGGTGGATCACCTGAGGTCAGGAGCTCGAGACCAGCCTAACCAACATGGTGAAACCCCGTCTCTACTAAAACTATAAAAATTAGCATGGTGTGGTGGTGGGTACCTGTAATCTCAGCCACTCAGGAGGCTGAGGCAGGGAAATCACTTGAACCTGGGAGGCAGAGGCTGCAGAAAGCAGAAGCAGAGATCACACCAATGCACTCCAGCCTGGGCGACAGAGTGAGGCTCTATCTCAAAAAATGTTTTAAAAGTAGAAAAGGGAACTTCGTGGGGCTCAGAGAAGAGTCAGAGACCAGAACCAGGCAAGGCATTCTGGCTGGTGTCATCAGAAAGATTAAAGAGACCTGAGACCAGGTGCGGTGGCTCACACCCGTAATCCCAGCACTTTGGAAGGCCAAGGCAGACAGTTCCCTTGAGGCCAGGACTTCAAGATCAGCCTAACCAACATGGCAAAATCCCGTCTCTACTATAAACACAAAAATTAGCTGGGCGTGGTGGCATACACCTGTAGTCCCAGCACTTTGGGAGGCTGAGATGGGAGGATTGCTTGAGGCCAGTAGGTTGAGATCAGCCTGGCCAGCATGGTGATACACCATCTCTACTAAAACACAAAAATTAGTCAGGCATGATGGTAGGTACCTGTAATTTCAACTACTCGGGAGGCCGAGGCATGGGAATCACTTAAACCAGGGAGGTGGAGGTTGCAGTGAGCCCAGATTGCAACACTGCCCTCCAGCCTGGGCAACAGAGCAAGACTCTGCCTTAAAAATAACAATAATAGTAAAATAAAGCTGAGGAAGGAATTCGGGTTTCTTCTACAATGAGTTTTGGATGCTGGACTTAGGACTCCCAGGGAAATGTCTGTTTCCCTTGCCAAGGGATGTCCCTTGCTGTAGTCACTTAATCTCTCTGTACTTCTATTTCCTTCCCCATTTGTAAAACACATCTGTAATAATATACATTTATCCAATTATAAACTATCAATTTACAGGCTGGGTGTGGTGGCTCATGCTTGTAATCCCAGCACTTTGGGAGGCTGAGATGGGTGGATCACCTGAGGCCAGGAGTTCAAGACCAGCCTGGCCAACATGGTGAACCCCGTCTCTACAAAAAATAAAAAAGTTAGCCAGGTGTGGTGGTGGGTGCCTGTAATTCCATCTACTCAGGAGGCTGAAGTGGGAGAATCATTTGAACCCTGGAGGTGGAGGTTGCAGTAGCCAAGATCACGCCACTGCACTCCAGCCTGAGCAACAGAGCAAGACTCCATCTCAAAAATGAAACAAACAGAAAACCACCCTGTGCGCTGATGTAAGAATTAATGAATGGGACCGTCTCTGTGAGCCAAGAAGTGCCCACAGATGTTAGGTGGGGTTAGTGAATTGCTGTCATTTTACCCAAGGGCCAGGAGGGGTACAGAGAGATAAAGTGACTTACTCAGGGGCACACAGCTGCTGGCCTGGCCAGGATCCTGCAGCAGTGAATGGCAGGAGGAGCTTGCCCTGATGCCCCTCTTTTGCAGGCTGGTCTGGAGAGGCTACAGGAAGCCACTGAGACCAAAAGATCTCTGGTCGCTTGGGCGTGAAAACTCCTCAGAAGAACTTGTTTCCCGGCTCGAAAAGGAGTGGATAAAGATCCGCAGTGCAGCCCGGAGGTAAGTGTATGGAGATCAAGAACTCACCTGACGCTCCGTCAGAAAATCTCATCCTCTGACCTCCAGTCTAGCCCCCCACACTACTCTCAGCTGCACTGCCACCCCCCACCCCAAATCTTGCCTTCCAGCTGATCCCACTAAGTAGTAACTGATCAGGCTCAAGATATGGTTCCTGCCAGAATGCCTTGCAGGTTGCTACAAATGGGAAACTCACAGCAGAAGACAGGCAGGAAACAGGAGAGGTATTTCAAGACCTGGGTGGAGGGTTGGGAGGTGACTCATATCATGCAGGCAGCTGCTCACTTACTACATAACTTGAGCAGTTCCTTTCCTGGGCCTCAGTTTTTTTTATCTGTTCAATGGGGATGTCATAGCCCCATATGAAGATGAAAAAAAGTTGATTTTTGGAAAAGTATTTGCAAATTTCTTGAAAATAGGAGGTGCTCAAGCATTGTTAGTCATCCAGAGGTGTGAAGATCTTTGGAGTCACCCGATGTGTCCACTTCTATCCTCAGTGGCTTCTCTGGAAACTTCTCTGCAGCCCTTAGAGCCTGGGGAGCCTCATTTGAGAAGTTCTGGCCTAGAGAAATTAGCCTGAAACATAAGATTAGATAAAATTGGGTTAAATGCTGCCCGGCCATCGAATAGTGGTGGCCTGGACCCTTGGTGTTTCAGGAGACAGAACAGAAGTAATTTAGCTTTATGGGAAGAGGACCAAGGTTCCCCTGCATACTCTGGGATTTTGTGGTAGTTGTTGCAGATGGCTGAACCCCACACGTTAGGAGAGAGAGAGGAGAGAGACTGATACTATAGGCTCACATAGCTAAGAGGATCTATGGGGATGAGGGGACTCACTTGATGTCAGGGTTCCCTCGCTTCATCTCCCAGTCCAGCTGTTGTCTATGTGTTGGTCTCTCCATAGGCCTGTCCTGTCCCAGGCAAGTTCAGCAAACCTCAGCAGAATGAGAGGGCATCTCTCCTAACGGCCATATAGAGGATCCCAAGGAAGGCCTCTAATTGACCTGGCTCATGTCATGTGCCTGTCAGGAGCCAATCCCATGCTCAGGGACCTGGTTCCATGACTGGTGGTACCTTTTGAGCCACAGAAGTGGGTAGGGCCTGTTCCCACAAAGGAAGGGCATATGTTTCTCCAAACAGAATACGTAGCGTGAGTGCAAACATCCACGCTCTCTCGCCCGGGCATAGCTTGCTGGACCCCCCTCCACTTTTATCATTGTTGTTGTTTGTTTTGTTTTTGAGACAGAGTCTCGCTCTGTCACACAGGCTGGAGTGCAGTGGCGTGATCTCAGCTCACTGCAACCTCCACCTCCTGGGTTCAAGTGATTCTCCTGCTTCAGCCTTCTGTGTGGCTGGTACCACAGGCGTGCACCACCAGGCCCAACTAATTTTTGTATGTTTTTAGTAGAGACAGGGTTTTCCCAAGTTGACCAGGCTGATCTTGAACTCCTGACCTCAGGTGATCTGCCTGCCTCTGCCTCTCAAAGTTCTGGGATTACAGGCATGAGCCACTGTGCCTGACTCACCCTCTACTTTTAAATGACTTTACAGAAGTGGCAGAATTCAGTCCACAGGGGCTCTGAAATGAGCCTCTGCCAACTCCTGGCCTCCACAGCCAACATGAAAATTACAGGTCACCCGACACTAGAACTAAAAGATAGAAACATTCTCCAGAGCAGTTTGAGAATCCTCCCATAAACAATTGACAGAAAGAAAGGGGAACGACGGGGTTGTACAAAGACCAGCCTCCATCAGCTTCTGAGCCAACTGACTGCATCCAGAGAGAACTTTGGTTTTCTGTCTGAAATATTTTGCAACCACTGGGGGAAGGGAGAGGACGTCCTCCTGAGAGGTCACACAACAGCCACCTGCTGGTGAGGTGAGCTTCACAAGGTATGTTTGGTGCACATGGGCTTTGTGGTTGTTTATGTTGTTTTGTTTTTTAATAAGTTGTTAATATTTAAAAATTTAGAGAGATCACATACAAATCTGGTAATCAAGGCTGGGTGCAGTGGCTTATGCTTTGCCACTGGAGGTCGAGGTGGGCAAATCACACGAGGTCAGGAGTTCGATACCAGGCTGGCCAACATGGTAAAACCCTGTCTCTACTAAAAACACAAAAATTAGCTGGGAGTGGTGGTGAGTGCTTGTAATCCCAGCTATTGGAAAGGCTGAGGCAGGAGAATTTCTTGAACCCGGAAGGTGGAGGTTGCAGTGAGCTGAGATCAGGCTAGTGCACTCCAGCCTGACTGACAGAGTGAGACTCGGTCTCAAAAATTAAATACAATACAAATACAAATAAATAAAAGTCTGGAATTCTGGTCTCTCTTAAAGTAGATCTGGCAACACTAGGCCACATCGTCACAGGCAGTAGGAGACGGGATTCGGGTGGAGTCTACAGCATTAAACAAGGTGTGCAGACTTCAGTGCATCCCCACCCCTCTCTCGCTCTCCTTCTTTCCTTCCTTTCTTCCTGCCTTCATTCCGTCTTTCTTTCTTTTTCTTTCTTTCCTCCCTCCCTCCCTTCCTCCCTTCTTTCCTTCCTGCCTTCTCTTTCTTTTCTTTTTTCTTTCCTCCTTCCTTCCTTCCTTCTCTCTGCTTCTGTCACCCAGGCTGGAGTGCAGTGGCACCATCTTGCCTCATTGCAAGCTCCGCCTCCCAGGTTCAAATGATTCTCCTGTCTAAGCCTCCCAAGTAGCTGGGACTACAAGCGCCTGCCACCAGGTTCAGCTAATTTTTGTATTCTTTACTAGAGGCAGGGTTTCTCCCTGTCTTAGGCTATCAGGCTACTCTCAAACTCCTGACCTCAGGCGATCTGCCTGCTTTGGCCTCCCAAAGTGCTGGGATCACAGGTGTGAGCCGCCGTGCCCAGCCTCCACCACTCCCTTTTGTACCCCCCAACTCACACCTTGCCCATGTCACTCATGCGGACCCCCGCCTTGCCCCATGGTCATCTGTGAGTCCTGCACTAAATGGCCTTCAGTCCAGAGACCAGACATCAGAGAGCAATCTGGACCTCTTCCTTGATGGGAGGTGAGACCTCCAGAAGAGGAGAACGCCTGCTATGGAGCCTGCAGGCTGAACACAGTGACTCTCCGGGCAAACAGTTCGAACAGAACTGAGCAAAACCTCCAGCCAGAAAGAAAACTTCCCAGTCAGCTCTTCCCTGACCCCATTTTACAGGTGGAAACACTAAGGCTCAGAGGAGAAGACAGAGCAGGCATTGGAACCATAGTCTTCTGGCTCCAAATCCAAGTTCTGTCCACCCAGCCAAGTTCCTTCCTTCTGCAAATGTTTATAACAGTCTGTGCTGGGCACTCTTGTTAGGCCCTTTTACACATATCACTCAGTCTGCTTTTCCCATTCATTTGACAAGTGTTTACTGAGCTCCTACTGTGTGTAGGAGCTGGACTCGATACTAGGGACATCTTGGTAGAAAACTCAGGCCAAGTCTACCCACCTGGGGTTCTAACAAGACAGAGAGGGTTGGCGCCGTGGGCAAGGCTGCGAAGGCAGTGAATGAAATGGGGGGGCCAGACAGGAAGGGAGGTCAGGGATGCTCTCTGCATGGAAGGGGCATCTTCTTGCCTTTGAGACCCAAATGCCAAAATACCTGTGGGCAGCAGGCTACACCCACTCAGTAACAGAGCTGAGCCACAACCCTCCATAGATGCCAAACCAAACACCAGATCAGGCCAGCAATGAGGGACAAAGACCTTGGCCTGGAAGGGTCTGGCCACCTGAGCTCACCAGAGGATTTTTCTTATGCTTCTTTTTTTTTTTTATTATGGTGGGGTTGGGGGTCCTTAGTGCACAAGAAACACTCTATGAGCCATAAGTCAAGATCTAGCCTCCAATCCCTGCTCTGCCCTTGCTGTGTGACCTTGAGTTGCTGTTACCACCTCTCAGAACCTCAGCTTCCTTCCCCTTCTGTAAAAATGGAGAGCCTAATATAGTATCCACATGGCAAGGGCTCCAGCAAAGTCAGCGAGCTCCATTATGTAACGAGCTGATCCCTGCATGTGGCCCCGGGTCACAGATGTGTAATGGGGCTCACACCCATAATTCCAGCACTTTGGGAGGCCGAGGCAGGTGGATCACCTGAGGTCAGGAGTTTAACAGCAACCTAGCCAACATAGTGAAATCTCGTCTCTACTAAAAAATACAAAAATTAGCTGGGCATGGTGATGTGCACCTGTAATCCCAGCTACTCTGAGAGGCTGAGGCAGAAGAATCGCTTGAACCCGGGAGGCGGAGGTTGCAGTGAGCTGAGATCGTGCCACTGCACTCCAGCCTGGGTGACAGCAGACAAGCTCGGGCAGCTTCAAACTCGTAAGATCCCCAGCCTCAGTGACAAGATTGAAACTCTATCTCAAAACAAAACAAAAAAAATACTGATAACCCAAGACCAACAACCAGCTAGCAGCAGCTGCATCGCCCCAGCCTCTCCTTTACGGTCCATGGCTTCTGACCTGCCCCTGACAGGCGCTTTCTCCTCCCCTATCTCCTCCTCTCCACCCCTCACTTTAGCTCTTCTCTTTGGCCCCTGGTTATGACCAAAGGCTGGGGATCTTAGGAGTCTGAGGCAGCCTGAGCTTCTGTCTGTGCTTTCACCCAGAGCCACAGCACCAGGCCCCATGCACATCAGCTGTGATTCTCCACCAGTTCAAAACCACCTAAGGGCTGGCTGGTTGTGTGTGTGTTGGGGGCCGGGGGGTGCTGTTCTTCCTCCAGATTGACAACACAATAGATTGAAAAGTACATGGGAGGCCAGGCACAGTGGCTCATGCCTGCAATCCCAGAACTTTGGAAGGCTGAGGCAAGCGGATCACCTGAGGTCAGGATTTCAAAACCAGCCTGGCCGACATGGTGAAATCCCATCACCTAAACATACAAAAATTAGCTGGGCATGGTGGCCTTTGCCTGTAATCCCAGCTACTCAGGAGGCTGAGGTGGGAGAATCACTTGAAACCAGGAGGTGGAGGTTACAGTAAGCCAAGATCACACCACTGCACTCCCGCCTGGGCGACAGAGCGAGACTTTTCAAAAAGAAAAGAAAGGTGCATGGGCCATGGAGGCAGAGAGCTGGAATCAAATCCCAGTTCTTTTACTTCTCAGCTGTGTGCCCTTGGACAAATTCACTTCTTGGAGCCTCAGTTTTCTCATCTGTGAAATGGGAACAACACCTGGCTTGCCGGGGGTCTTAGGATGACTGAGTGCCTGGCATGTAGTAGGTGCTCAACATGTGTGCTTTCCCATGGCCATCTAAGAGGCCTCAGGGCTGCCTTCCTGCCCTGCCCCCACAACTCCTGTGACTGCCTCTTAAGTGGGTACTCAGAGTGATAAGGAGGAACAGGTGAGGGAGCCAGGTTGGCTCCACACCCACCCACGTGCATTGTTGGGAAAACAAGCCTTTTCTGTGTGGTCCTGAACCAGGTGCCTGAGAGTATAAAATGGGACCCAGAGCCACTCTCTCTCCTTCCTTAAGGCACCCCAAGGCAACAGCATTTGAAAAGGAAGGAGGCAGTGGCTTGGAAGCTCCAGAGACTGAGCCCTTCCTACCGCAAGAAGGAAGC